CTGGACCCCTGGGGCTGGGGGGAGGGGCTGAAGGCCAGACCTCTGGGTCTGAGGTTGGAGACCTTTGGAGTCCTGGACTCCTAGGTCTGGAGGAGCAGAGGCTGGGCCCAGGACACCCCAGGAACAGGGTTTGCAGCTGGGCAGAGGGGAAGCAGAGAGCTCCTCAGCTGTCTGCAGCCTCCCCAGCAGAAAGCCTACACCTGCTGCCCCCTAGTGGACATGAGGCTGGGCCAGACAAGGGACAGGGCGCTGACAGGTCAAGGAACCCAGGGAAGAGCCAGAGTACTGACCCCAATGAGAACAGAGATGGGGCAGAGAGAGAGAGATGGGCAGAGAGACAGGAGACACGCACATACAGAGACAGAGTCGCATGGGGAACTGCGAAGTGGGGAGAGGGGCAAGGATCAGGTAGAGAGCCTAACTGAAAAAGAGAGAGCTGGAGATGGTGGAGGCTTAGAGACAGGGAGAGAGTGGAGGGACAGGGAAGGGCAGTGGGGAGAGGGGCTGCACAGAGCAATGGGCGGGAAGAAGGGGTGGCAGAGACTGCTGGACAGACAGTAGGAGAGACAGGAGTCGTATGGACAGGACAGTGTGACAGAGGGCTGAGGACAGGTCTAAAGGAGAAGTGGGAGAGAGAAAAGCCCAGGGAACATGCAGAGAGAGGACAGGAGGAGAGACAGAGAGAAGCAGGTGGGCACACCCAGAGAGACAAGAGAGATGGATGGAGAGAGACAGGTGGACACGCATGGAGAAAGGGGCAGAGTGGGGCAGGTGGACAGAGAGATACAGGGGACCCAGAGCCTCCAAAGCCACAGGGACACCCCAAGATGGAGCAAAGTGGTATGGTATATGGGGGTGGGAGTGAGGCTGGACCTGAGACTAGGGGCTCTGAGGCCTGGTGGGGGTTCCAGGCTCAGGGGCCTCCTGTGGCAACGCTCAGGAGAGGAGCTGGGGACAGGGCTCCCCTGGTCCGGGTCTCTGCCCGCCACCCCTCCCTATCCCCCCCCCA